TCTTAATTATTTATTTGCCATATAACGAGATGTTTGATCAGTTTTTACTGCTTTTAATTCTTATCTAATTTTGTAAAACATAAGTACTTGTGTGTGGAAATTTAGTTTATTTACGTTTCACGTTTACGTAAGCTCGTCACGAACCGAGTCATGTTTCTCGATAAACACGAGAGCTTATATAAAAATATTTAATAATACTTTGCGAAATATCGCGAAAGCGTAATAAGCACTCTTCCCGCTTATATCCACCGTAGCTTATTCATTCATCCGTTTGTTTGTACACTCAACCATTCACTCGTTGTCTCAGTCACACATTCGATCTATGATGCATTCATTCGTTGAAGCCAGTCATGCACATTCTTCCCTCGTCATTTCATTAACTAAGTACGACAAATGAAGTAGCAGAGTAACTTTATGTGCACAGTACGTGTTATTTCTCAGCTTAATTAATTATATTACATCGTAATATTGTTGGAAAAATCATAAGTAAACGAGATCATTGGAAAAATACACTACAAAATAATTTAATTTCTTATCTAAAAATTTCTTTTGTTTTAATATATTTTACTGCGAAATATCTCTTCAGAAACGCGCGCAAATGATGCGATATACGACGATGAAATAGTTGATCGGTATCGAAAATGCATGCAAATAAAACTTCCTTTTGGCCGGCCCAATTCAATCTATATGCAAAAACAATTAAATTGCTTCCGGAGTATATTTTATAACGCTCTCTTTGTCCTTCCTCTTTACTCGAGAGGCTTTCCAAGGAGGCATTCAAGGTACGGTTGGGCGGAACACCCACTTCGCTATTTACTGTCGAACTTTCTGAAAGAGAGAATTTCGCTTGTCGTCAATAGCGCGTAAGCCGACGCATTTGAAAATTGTGAAATTAAATATGTTTTTTATTAAAAATAAACGATAAATGTATGTATTTTTATTCGGGCCATTCAGATGATCTCACGTTAACGTAACATTTACGTTTACGTGAAGAGGAAAGTAAGAAAAAAACAAGTCGAGTAACTTCGGATTCGTTACAACCGCGCTAAAAAAAGAGTAAAAGAGTGAAACTCGCCTGGACGGTCCTAAAAGGGTGCTGTTTTACGTTAGCACCAAGCGGTCGGCGTTAAGCCGGTTCACGTCACCTAACAGGCTCGTTAAAATGACAGTAAATGCTTCAGCGGGTGTCGAAGCGGACGACGAACGACGAGAAGTCATACGTCAAAATTAATGACCGTTGCTACCCCGATTCTTCGGCGTGTATAGCGCACGCTTCGTCCCTTCTTGTTAATTATCGACACTTCTGCTTTGTTCGCTTTGTTCCGCAAGATTTAGGTTTCTTCCGTCTCATTCCCCAGCCTAATTTGGAGGCGAGCGCGAGCGCTTGACCCTTTCAAAAAGCCCAAAATAATAAATATCAGCTTGCTCCGTTTTTTTTCCCACGGGGTGGCTTTCGCAGCTTGCTCGCACAAATTGCCAGAACGAGATTGAATTGGCAACGATAAAGATTGAATTAACTTTTAAGGGGATCCTAAAGTCGTCTGTTTTACCTATTCAATGGGACTTACACGCGCGATTTATAAAAAAAATAATGAAGTTTAAGACTTCTATGTATCTGAACAATACTTTTTATTTTCCTTTTCTAGAACAAGGATAAAGAAAATTATACTTTTGGTGCTGTCACCAACTTACCTACAGTTAGGGCCGATTGCATCAATATAAGATTAATATATATTTAATTAGAAAAAGATAAGAGCAGTGAGTTAAATTGAGATTGAAGGCCAATATTCGAGATAACATCTTTTAGCATTTACGTTATTTTAATATTACTTAACATTGTAACGAATTACGATTTTCGCGTAATATGAAATAATTGTCAAATGTAAATTCATCGTTGCACCTTGCGCGGAAGCAAACGTGCGAGGCGCTTTTTTATTGGTCGGAAAAAGAAGAAAAAAAAAGAAGGGGGAATCGCGCGAGGGTGGTCCGTTCACCGGTGGAATTGTTAATTATCGATGCTTTCGCATTTGCGCGCTTTTGTTCTCGCCTCTCCTACCGCAAGAGCGTTCGTGAAGAGCGCCCAAGAGCGCCTTAAAGAGCTCTCGTTTTAACGGCTGATGAAAATACTTAAGTGAAACCGCTGGCACGCGCCGAGGCACCCAGAGAGAAGAAATCGAGCGTTTGTACACTATCTTCTGAGAAATGCATATCGCATAACTCCCTTCAATACCGTACACGGTATAAACGTTACGCGTCTTCCACGAGACGTGCGTGTAAATTTTAACGCTGTACAGGAATCTATCTTTTTTTATGACGTTCTGGAAGGGTTGAGGCTTCGACGAATATTTTTCCGTGAACGTCGTATGGGTCAATGCGAAGTATAGGCTCTATATTCGCCTTTTCGCTTTACGGAGAAAAGCTCCGCTACAGATTGCACTGTCTATTTCTGCGGCGGATTGTTGTAGAAACAATCAACACGAGTTTCTTCAACACGCTTCCTCGAACCTATCGCAATTCGCCGCCCTGTCGTGATTCGGACGGATTACTTTTCACGGAAGGAGTCGCCGCAAATCGCCGTTCGCCCTTCTACGCAATCATCCCCCTGTGTTTAAAGGAATCTTATGTTGTCTTTATACGTGTCATTGACACGTAATTGATCACATTATTAAATCACACGTATGTACATGTACGAATTTTCTAATCTTTCATATTAGATATCTAATTGAAAGGATAAATTTTATTTTTTTTTTTTATAAATTGTTGTTACCTATTAATAATTGATTGAAATAACACTAACTAGCATCTCTCTTATTCACAATCAATTAAAACAATAATTTATTGTCATTATATCTGCAAATCATTTGTTAACGATACGGTACTGGTGGCTACATGAATTAATAAAATCCCTTTTCTTAGCCAGCGACTTCCTGAAATTATGTTTTACTCATTATTTTGATTCCATTACTCGCGAAAGACTAATGCCGTCTAGGCCAGTTTTCGAGGAGAATTGATCTCTTCGGTAGATTTATAGAAGCAGCGCGTACGATTGTATTATTAAAAAGGACAGCTTGATTAGCTTAAGAAAAACTCCATTAGTGAGAGGGTAACTTATCATGGATCACAAAAGAGTTGGATTTAACGTACCCTGGTATTATTACGGGATTACCCGAGAGTAATTTCAACAAAACCAATTCTGTTTGCAGAGGAGTAGAGGCGGCGGTTTTAATCGCGTATTCATTCGCGGCCACGCGACTCCGCGAAATTTTTCTGATGCTAATTACGTCGCGGCTTTAACGTCGACTGTAAAAAAGAGCTTTGGACCAAACGATCTTCCGCGGCGAAAGAGAATATTTCTCCGATTGTCGTTTCACTCTCCTCGAACATTGTTTCAAATTAGTATCTAATTAGTATCTAATATGATTGTTAATTACTGTTATTAAAAGTATGAAATGCGAGCGAGCGCATTAATACATTGTACAGTACGTGATAATTATAGCTAGACTTGCGGGAGACTTTACGACACATTTGTTGATTACTGTCTCCGCGTTTTATTAAGTTATTCGTATTTGTCTCTTTCATGTCTATATATACAATGTGATTGATATGACAAACTATCTTTATATTTTTCTTAAAAGATAAAGAAAGATAACGATAATTAGCACAACAAGTCAGTAATGATACATTGCCCATTTAAGATAAATTGTTATTATTAGCATAAATAACATATGATAAAGTATATAGATACGATAAAAATAAAATTACATCAACAAAACACTGTCGAACAGTAGAAAAATTTTAAATAATTTATTTGTATATACGTAATAAAGATATATTATTTGTATGAGTAAAAAGAAATATTTTAATCTAACATGGTATGAACAAATTTGATTAAAATTAAATATGCACGTTTATGTATATTTAATTTTAATCAAATTAGTTTCACACTACATATCAAGTCACATGTCTGTAACCGTATTTATTTGTCACTGCAAGCACACAATAATCTCACATCTTAGCGTCGCAGCATCGATCAAAACAACTTGCAACTTGCTTGCCTGACATTCCCTAATTACTACACGAACCGAATTACCTAATGATAAACTTAACAGATAAACGTTAATATTACGCAGCAAATACAAATATTGATCATAAACTCACGGCCACACATCGATCCATTTCTCGCGGTATACTGCAAAGCTACAAGTTAAATTTTCGCTGTAATTACATTGCAGATTTAAAAAATCAATATTGCATATGAGCATATTGTACTAAATAGTAATCTTATGCGTATTATACAATAAACTTATATTTTTTTGTCATGATTTTATCAGAGACGTTGATTTCTATTAATCAAAATTGAATATTAATTCCAATAGAAGCATTATTAAACAAGAAATTGTTGAAGAAAGACAGCAAGGTTTCTTTTATTCTGTTTAGTTTATAAGTTTAAAAGATTGACAAATATTTCTAAACGAATTATGTTACATCGTTCCTTGGCAACTAAATCTTAAAGTGCTGATCCTTTTATAAAGCCATTGAAATAATTAATATTAATTAAATTAATGTTGGTAAAATATATATCAATTGACTTGGATTTGAGCCACCGATTTAATTAACTGAAAATAACAGAATATTGGAATGTCAATTCAAAAAAGACTCGAAGGTTGAGAATCACGTTGAGAATCATTGGGGCGGTCTTGTTTACGAGGCTCGAGAGTCGAAGATCATAATAACTATCGTGTACACCCGCGTTCACGGGATGACCGTGTCTCATTTTGATGTGGCATGTCTCGATATAATTGTGTCCGATGGTCGCATGTAACATTAAGGAAGCAGCGAACAGAATTTAATTGAACAAAAGCTCGATACAGTAGCCTTCTTCCCTGTGCACGTACCCTCCCTCCCCCCCCCCCCCCCCC